AAAAGGCTGCCGCTCCCTTACTGAAAACCTAACGCTGATTCAGAAGAGCATTCCAACACAATGGCTCTCCCTCCTAAGGGAGGATTTTTCGTGGAAATCCGGGGATTGGGGCATACTCATCTCCCAAACCCAGCCTACCAGAGCATATCGATTCGTCTCTCGAACTAACCCACTCAGCTACCTATCTAAATTCTACTCATACCCCATTGCTAATCACAGCCTACAAGAGTTGGAAATCCAGAACAAAGAACCCCAGTGTGACATACTACAAACCTTCCGACCGAGAAAAGTGAGGGTCTCAAAGGCCAAGCCCTGAAAAATCTTCCAACCGGATCTCAACATTTAAAACCTCGAATTCGACCCAGAAGAGTGGGTCTGGAAGCAGGGTAAGTCTGGGAGAACGAGGATGATATTTGAATACGATGTCAAACTCTGTTATGACTTGGGTCTACAGACCACAGATCCGGACCCCAGACTCAAAGGAAAATGGAGGGAGATCCTGAATCTAAACCCCATGGACCCCATTTCCATCCCTTGGAAGAAGTATTTTGTCTATTAGACCGGTCAGGATTCGAAGCATGCAGTGGCTCATAGCGCACACATCGCTGCCGGTCAATCAATGGCTCCACAAGAGGAGGAAACATACGGACCCTGACAACTCTGAATTATGCAGGTTGTGCACAAACAACATCCTGGAAAGATATAGTACCCCACTGCCTCCTGTATTGCACTGAAACAGCATGGATATGGAACAAGGTGCACGAGCTATGGTCCCTCTTCTTCTCATCACCCCCTCCGTACACAACTCCTCTGAACATCCTATTCCTATCCAACAATACTAATAATCTCAAGGGCGGCAAGGAAGTCTGGTTTCACCTGCTCAGGAAGCTGGCTCTATGGGTAATATGGAAAAGGAGGTGTACCAAGACTATTGAGGGCACTGAGGTGGCAACGGAGGAAATGTGGATTCTACTGTTGGGAATGGCGGAAACTGAGATTCGATCCAGGTGGAGGGAGGTGACATCAGCAACGAAAGTCAGACCAGAAAGGCTAGCCGTCAAGAGACGGTCTTTTGTGAGAAACTGGCTTCTACAGGGAAAGATCGCAACTGTGGCAGATAACAGGTTGATTTGGAAAAAATGGCACAGAGCAACTTCAGCAAGGACGATGACCCAGTGATGGGCAAACTGAGATTACAATCTACATGAATCATCTGACAGAGTCACAGTACATTCTGAGAGGAAAAGTGGTAGGGCAAGCTCACAGTCAATCCTCCGGCTCTGGAGCAATCAATGCTGGTCACGGTTCCTTCGGCCAGACAGAAGAAAATGTGAGAGTGTTCACCATGTATTTCAATTCTTGACTTGCCGGCGGAAAGGAACCGGACTGACACTCCCCAGAATGGATATGGAGCCAGGACCATAAGGACCTGTTTCAACCAAAAAAAAGAAAAAAAGAAAGTGTTGGTAGGGCTGATTTGCCTTGCACAGTGGGCAATGTCCCACTTGTGCAGATTAAGGGATGCTGTCCATCTAAAAAAATAAAAAAATAAAAAAATAAAAATGAAAACAGGGTACCTCGGTGCCCCGGTCCACCCCCGGGTCAGTGACAAAAAATAAACATACCGAAAACGAGAACAAGGTACCTTGGCGCCCGGGTCCAACCGCGGCTCAGTGACAAAACATCCTACCACGGGGTCACCCCCGACTACCCCAAGAGGCCGAGAACCTGAAAGCAGTCAACAAGACCCGAAGTGCTCGATCAGGCACAGCCTTGGCCAAATTGGCCACAGAGAGAGAGAGAGAGAGAGAGAGAGAGAGAGAGAGAGAGAGAGAGAGAGAGAGAGAGAGGTGCAGGAGGAGGAAGAGGATGGAGGATGAACGAGGAGGAGGGAGAGGAGGAGGAGGGAAGAGCAGGAGGAGGAAGAGCAGAAGAAGTGCGATGGAGAAGAAGACACAAGAGGAGGAGGAGAAGAAGCGGAGGACGAGAAAAAGAGGAGGTATGTGCACGGGATTCGGGGTAG